TTCTTTCCAGGAAACTTTCAAGAAATTATCAGCAAACAGAGGACCAAATGAAGCATTACCGTTACTGTTTGTTATTTATTTTGCATTTGCAATGTTCATTTTGTCACTGTCACAAACTGTGTCATCTAATCAGAAAGGCAGTTTTCCAAAGTGGAGAAGGGTGGACAAGCATTGAGTCATAAAAACATATATGGAATATGGCATGAAACAAAATTTACAATTTGAGCACTTGTGCAGCAAAATGATCTTTTTTTCTACATTTCTATAACATCTTGTCTAATATTAGGGACATTCCACTGAGCTGTGAAATTTAGGAAGGTCTGGATTTTCTGCTTCAAGAATGGGGCTCACAGAAAAGTTCCAATCTAGATGAACCAGTCCTTGAACCAGTTTTAAAGAAATCCGGGCCTATAATGTAACTCCTGACCCCAGGATTCAGAGTTTTCAGCAACCATTTGCAACCACAGGTCTTTTCAGCTCGGCTTAGACATATTTTGTCCAGCGCTTCACCTTGGTGTTTTTTTCTATCTCATATTAGCCATAGGATATAATTGTAAAGGTTTATACTTTTACTGCTGCTGGGTCCTTACCAGAAGCACAGGATCTATTATAATTGAAACATCAGCAAATAATTTTGATGGGGTTAACAAGTCACTTAAACAATGCATATGAAGTGAAATGTTTATAGGAAAACATTATTTTTGGGGTCTGGACAGTAAATCTCCTCAGTCTCCTAATCAGCTTTAAAGTTATTTTTGACAGTTGCTCATTTTTCATCATTCCTAGACTGTATTAGGTCCTGTACCTGAACACAATCAGTTTTTTTCATGAATACAATATAAATATATACAATATAAGCCTAACTTTCTAATGATAAAGATTGTTTAGCGAATATAACTTCCTAATACATCACATTTTAGAACATTTCAATAACTCTTTTTTGCACTGTTATCCCCACTTGCAGGGAGAAATCCCACAAAGGTAAAAAAATAAAGTTGGTTTTGGCAAATACACTGATAAAATATCACATTTCAGTTGTCTTTTATTGTGATCACACTTCCATACAATTTGCAGTCCCAATTGAATAACTAACACTGTACATTAATATAAACTGGCAGGCAGGAGTTGCCTAGACTTGTCTTTTTAATTATTTAGGACAGTAATTGTTCTGGAAAAAAAAAACTGAACACAATGGGGATTCTGAAAGAAACAAGAGCTTCTACGTCTACTGACAAACCAGTTCTTGGTTTCGTGTCACTGATTTCATGACTGGTTTTGTATATCTAAAGGTGCAGTTTGTGTGTAGAGCTTATTATGAAGAATTTCAATGGCAACTGGCAGGCACAAGCACAGACACAAGAGTTTTGAACTGATCACCAGCTACTTCACATTACATTATTTACCATAATTCACAAAACTTTTCAAGACAAGATCTCTTTCATTTGTCTTCTTAACTCTTCATTAAACCATAGGAGAGAAGCTTTACATTGTGGTTATTGTACAACTGTTCTTGTAAAAGACGGAGAGCCGAAGTCATGTCGTTTCATCCGGTTAGTCTTTGTTCTATTAGTGAAGCTTTACATTGTGGTTATTGTACAAATGTTCTTGTAAAAGACAGAGAGCCGAAGGCATGTCGTCTCATCCGCTTAGTCTTTGTTCTATTAGCGTCAGTGGCTCTATGCAATTGCTCATTTAGCTTTTTTTCTCCATCAGCCACTATAAGAAAACAAAGCATATTCCTCTGCTCACATTCCTCACATTGTAAAACAAGCCACTGACCACTACAAGTCAAAAGCTTTGTAGTTCTAACAAGGTTAATCTTTTTCTTTAGACTCCTCTGGACGATGGTCCATGTAGCACAACAGTAACCATATGTTTCTGATATTAGTCTCAACTCTCAACTTTTTAAGTTGTAAAAAAATAAAAATAAAATTACGCTTGTAATATTTACAGCCATCTTTTCATTCGGAACCTCAGTTCAATTCTCCCGCCAGTCGACCAGCATCAGCTGGCAACGTTTCAGCCACAACCAGCTCAGGCTTCTTGAAGATAGTGAGTTCCATGGCATTTTAGCATTATTAAATGGTTTTTAAAAACTTCAATTTGGCTTTGTTTTTTAAAAGACATATTAGTGTAACCAGTATTTTGTTTTACAGCAGTTGTCAGCAGAAGTCATGAGACTGAAATTATTAACAACAAATCATTATCTACCAAATCTGTACTTAGAGATCACCAATTTAACAAATCTAATCACATTCATCAAATTTTCTAAAAACAACAAAAGTAATGCATAAAGTCAAGGTCGCCACTCCAAACTTTCAGTTTCTGTGAGTGAGAATGGGTGATCAGTCTGCCATAGTACATATAGGCTACCTGTCCCTTTTGTCTAGCCTCCTTCATGGCTTCCTTATGTTTTTGACGAAAAGCATCAGAATAATCTTCATTAATTTCTATCATTTTAATTCTAAATGTAACTGGTTTTAGAATAAAATGTTTTACATTGTTTTACATTTTACTACAATACTACTGTTAAATCAGTTAAGAAAACCATCCAGGAAGAACCATTCAGTGAACTAATGCATGTAGACAGTAAACTCTGTCACACACAAAGAGGTGCTTTGCATCACATCCACCTCCTGCCCCCCTTAAGCTCCTGATCCACATTCCACCCTCTAAAAAAACATAATCCCTGACGTCAGGGAGGTTTTGATGTCTCTGTTGCACCAGTACCTTGACTCTTCCCTCCCCCTTAGTATAAATAATGACACAGGGGGAACAGGTGTCACAACTTAACCTGTGATCTCGGTAAAGACATCAGAGCCAGGACTCGTGTGAGCTGCTCCTTAGAAAATAACCACACAAGGAAACAAGAACTGCAAATATTTTGCTTCTTCACCCAATTTCACTCATCGTTGAACTGAAGACAAAAAGATCTACAGGTAGGATTAAACAATGTGTATATAAGATAATTAATTTGATTATTCCCTATTCTGTAAACACTTGTAAAGGTTTCCGTTTACAATTACTAAAAGTTACTTACACCAACTAAATAATGTTAATGGCATTTTCAGGTATTTGAATTATCAAAAGTAATTGTAAATTATTATTATTATTGATGTTAACAATTATACTAGTACTATTATAATGAATTGATATTATTAATATTAAGTGTCTGAAACTGATTCTAAGGATTGGTATCGGGTTCGATCCAGGCATATTGCAAAGAATCAGCATTGGCTAAAATAAAGCTGATTTTTTACTTTACTTTTACTACAGTGCTGTGATTCTTAACCTGGGGATCTCTACTTCTACCAGCTCAATTCAACTCAACTTGACTCATCTTATTTGTGTTTCCATCAGTTAAATGTTGGGGATAGTACCTGGGACCTGATGTTATTTTTGGTATCACCTCCATCAAGGTTCCAAACAAGCAGAGGTGGTACCAAATGCTGATGTGTAAACACTGCAGACTAGTGACTGGTCAGAGAAATTGCATCATCAATTTGTGTGACTTCCTGACACAAAGAAAGCACCATTTTTAAAAGCAACCTTATTTAATTCTAACCGCTACCTTACTGTACTAACTAAAAACATTAACTACACACCAAGAATCAAGAACAGCATACCTTCGATGTCCCCCATTGTTAGCGCGTTGGTTGCTGACAACATCACATCAGTGTAATGCAGTGTCGCTATTACAACCAGCTACACTGAGAGGGGACCATCTGCAGTGGAAAACCCAGCACCCGATACCAAAAGCGAGTAGAGCTGAGTTGAGTCAGGTTGAGATGAGCCAGTACCAGATGATGGAAAAGGGGCTTTAAAGGTGCAGTATGTGAGATTTTGTGACACCTAGTGGTGAGGTTGCAGATTACACCATTCAGCAATTCTCTCATACATCATGTTAAACAGCTGTCACAGTGATTACCATAAACGCAGGACAAGCTGCACACTCAAAAAACAAGTGTGGTGCTCTTAAAATCTCTTAAACCCATAATAATGTTTCTTCTCTTTTTCCAAGTATCTCCAAATCCAAGCTGCTCCTTCAACATGACAATACAAGATTCACACTCTAGAGCCAGTGTGTGGTTTGTCTGTTCTGGGCTACTGTAAAAAAAAAAAACATGGTGGGTCGGGACCTATTTTTATGTAGATATAAAAGGTTCATTCTAAGCTAAAAGAAAAAATGCAACAATTCTCATTTTCTGGTGATTACACATTAATGAAAACATAATTATGCCTACTATAGCCCATTTCTGCTAATAAATCCTTCTAGATCTTACAAACTGCACCTTTAAAAGAAAACACCTTAGAGAATATAGTGACTTCTTGTGGGTGACAGAGGAAAAGGCAACAGTGAAGCAGCAAACTCTGGAGGGTACGATTCAGATCATCTGAAGTATCCCCATCAAAATCAGTATAGATAACCCTTATTACAGGACCTGAAACAATGCCAAAAAACTTTATCGGGACAGGTTTAATATTAAGTAAAATACATTGCAATAAATTTAATTTTACATATCCATTTTATAGACTAAATTATACTCTGAAGCATTTCCAGTTAACATCGTGCACAAAAAACAACAGTTAAATTCCAAGATGTACATGTGCTTGTCTGTACTGATAAAAATGCATTAATGTTGAACATTATTAAATTATTGCTTTACATATTTTTCTTACTGTAAATCCCAACATTTTAATGATTCATTTTATTAAAGTAGGTCTTGGTTTTCAAATTGTGTTCTATGTTAAACCTCAAACCAAATTTACTTAAAAGGTGCTATGATTAAATATGGTTCTTGTTTAATAATATCAACTGCATGTTCACCCCATAACCCCCAATGAGAGTAGCTTACCTCTAGATGTTTGGAAAATGTGTGGAATGCAGTTATAGATTATGGTTATAGATTTTTTTTTTAGTAATGTAGTCATTTTAATTTTAGCGCTTTAGTCATATTTCATCTCTAAATACCTTTTTCACTGCGCTGTTTGTGGCAGCTGTAACAGGAAGCTTCTTACCAGGCATTACAGAAGCACAAGCCACAACAGCAGTAAACAGCACTGAATCAGCTAACGCCACCAGCGCATCATCAAACGCCACCAGCGCATCGTCAAACGCCACCAGTGCATCATCAAACGCCACCAGTGCATCGGCAAACACCACCAGCGCATCGTCAAACGCCTCCAGCGCAATGGCAAACGCCACCAGCGCATCGTCAAACGCCACCAGCGCATCGGCAAACACCACCAGTGCACCCGCACCAGCTAACTCCACCAGTGCATCAGCAAACGCCACCACCACCACAGCTCCCCCACTGGCATTTAACGACACCGTGACAACTCTAAATGTAAGTGTTGCCAAAGAACAGTATTTTTATTGGTTTGTGTTGAATGTCATAAAAGTCGACATAATCCTGTCCACTTAAATGTCTTCCTTACAGGAAACTATTTCAAATGCAGAGTGTCGGAAAAAACAACTCTGTGCGGCTTTGCCCGATGGGTGTGACCCCTCCACAACAGGATCGTGTTACTTTCTTTCTGCCCAGTCGCAAAGTGGTCTGAACTATGGTTTTGGGCTCTCAGGAATCTCAAAAGGCTACATCGCTGCCATCTTGGCAACTACCGCCTCACCAGTATGTCCAGTTCTATTACTCACTCACAAATTAAAGTACTCACTTCTAACAAATCCTTTGTTTGAAGTCATCTGCGTCAACACTTAAAAAGTACGGTTTCTGGTTTTGCATCACAGGGAAATAACGAGTCCACCTACATCTGTGCAAACAACAACGGTAAAGTTAAATTCTTCAGCGCTCTCCTCCAGAGTGATGGCACGCTGGTGAAGCAGAATGTGAGTTGTACTTGCCTCAGACTAGTGCTGGGGATAGAGCTGTGTGAACATATATTTATTTATGTGTCTGTTGGAGCCCACTTTCCCTGCCGACTGGCACGCTTTTCATTTGTTGTATTTTTCACAAAAAAGGAAACTCAAAGAACATAGAGATTCCATAGCAGCTGCATGACATGCTCATCAAACCTGTTAACCAGTACTGTCGTATAATACACAGATTTGTGTAATTCAGCTCTGAACTGCAGTAATTTCAGAGGATATTATTTGGTGATGAAAATGACTTTTATATCTATAACTAAATGCCATTTTTGACCTACAATTCGAAACAGAGACTTAACATTTAATGGAGTGCACAAAGTTATGAATGCAGTCTTTTTGAACATGATATTCAAGAAAGTTCAAGGCAAACATTAATTCAAGCCATCACTATCTCAAGGATATATACATATTTATTACAAAAACAGACCAGTGGGAGCTCATTGTCACCTGTCTTTGCTCTACAGCTGAATGTCAACTCTGTGAAGGGCAGTGTCAATGGAGACAAAATCCAGTGCAGCTTTGTGGCCACTGTACCAGCCTCAGCTGCTAGAGCAACAGCAACCTCTTTGTCAATGGGAGTCGCCAATGGAACTTATAACAGCGGTAGGCTAACACATTAAAGATACATATTCACATCTACACCATATGTAGATGGTCTATGTGCTAAAAACACATCAGCGATCTCATTGATTTTTGCTTGTTCTCTCAGCTAATGGTGATTTGGGACCAGCCAAATCCCAAGTGAGGACCGCTCCGGTGGACCTGTCAAATCCTAACGCCACTGTCACGTATACGAATTCCACTACTGCTAACACCACCGCTTCCCCCAGTACTACTTCTAACCATGCCATAGCACTCCATCAATCACTGATGCAAGGTAAGCATAAGACATAAGGTGTTTTTTATGGATAACTGAAACTATAGTATCTTTTAATGAAACTGGCCGCAGACAAGTCCGACATGTGGCTGCTAATAATTGCTTTTCTGTTCTCCCATTCTCCGCTGTAGCAGCAAACTGAAATCCCCAAAAATGTCATCAATCAATATAAACATCTCGCAAAAGGTTTGCTATATTCACAGAGTCTAAGGAATCATACTGTATTATCTATCACCTTACTTCAGATTAAAGAATAAGGAGTGAAGGAGGGTCATCATTCTTCTACAGCCTTCTGACTGTTTTCACATCTGTTACAGAGTCTGAAAATGACAAGAAATTCTTTTAAGAGATTGTTTTAATGCAATCCATTCTGTTCTATGAGTTACTTTATTGCATCTTTGAATGGCTAGAATAGAGTACAAATGAGAAGCACTATTACAAGTGGAACCAGTACAAGTAATCAAACATGAATTCCAAATGAAGTGAACGGGTACTTGGCTTTCATCAGGGGGTGTCATGCTTTATACAAACTGTGGGGTTGGGGTGTGGTTACCTTTTAAGACCTATGATGCCAGGAAAATATGTGTTGGTTAATTTCAACAGTGCATATATGTCTGAACTCTAGGCTCATTTATTGTCAAAGAGCAGAGAAACTAATGAAGGACTTTTTGATAAGCATGGTTTTCATTTGTCTTCACAAAAGTTTGAAGTGCCCTCATTTGTGCCCTTATTTTGTTTTGTGTGCAACTACACAGTTATATTAAGGTGTTATGTTTCTTGTGGCATTCAAGATGAGCAAAGAAATGTTATTACCCTCTTCTATCATTCATAATGATGCCAGCAAATGGCAGATGTGTGATCTGCATAATGTTTTTCTCTTTAGTGGGAACGTACATGTTGTTCATAATGATGTTATGACAATGAAGCCTTCATTGGCTGATATTTTTAAGTGTGCAAGTATATTGTGTAAATGAGCAGCTGCTCATAAACAATGTCATATATGATACCTGATATTAAACGGTTTTGCATTATGTAACAATGAAATGTTAACTAATTATTTTAAATAAATGTTTGAAGGACATTGATCTGATTGATGTGCTATTAAATAAATTGTCAGATATTGTTGACAGATGGGAAACAGGCTGTATCATGAACAGCAGGGCTGAATGTAAAACTCTAATTCAGGGGTGCCCAATACATCGATCGCGATTGACCGGTCGATCGCAAAGGTAGTGTTGGTAGATCGCGTGCATTCAAAAATAAATTAGATGTATCCAACGTAAAACACGTACCAAATATTAACATGCAAATGGTCAGTGTGAGGACTCGCTGTGGCAACCCCTAACGGGAAAAGCCAAAAGTGACAATCAGTAGCCTATCATCCATCCTCCCTATGGCATTTGCTACTTGATTGACATGCAGGGCAGCCAGTCTGAGATCTTGTCTTTTCTGACACACGAGTCACCAAACATGCACAGTCAACAGCACGACCTACTGCAAAACTCTAGTGAGCAGACTACCTTGTCAGCCTTCGAATTAATTTCTACTAAAGGGTATGAAATGAGGGTGGGAGCCGAATCAAGTAAGAAACCGGAAATGTAGCGAAAACATTCCATGCTGAATGGGGGAAGAACTTTTTTTTTTGCAACATTATATTCGAAGTGCGTTTGCTTGATCTACCAATCTACCATCACTATTCCGAAGAAGGGAAATGTTGAGCAGCACTTTCAGACTGTTAATAAAAACTACAACACTCATTCATACATTTATTTTGAGTGTGTGTGTGTGTGTGTGTGTGTGTGTGTGTGTGTG